ATGTCATGAGGATGGACTGTTATGTTTGTTTTTTTTCTTCATGCTGCTGAAGATTGATTTTTATATATATATATATATATATATCTAGTATCTATCTATTGATCAATCTATTTATGTATTTTATCCATCTAGTATCCATCCATCTCTCTGTCTGTCTATCTATCTATCTCTCCTATTTCTCTCTCTCTCTCTCTTTAGCTCTCTTTCTCTATCTATCTATTTATCTCTCTCCTATCTCTCTATCTCGCCATCAATCTCTCTCTCTCTCTACCTATCTATTTATCTCTCTCTCCCTCCTATCTCTCTCTCTATCTGTCCATCAGTCTCTTTGTCTCTCTCTCTCTTTCTCTCTCTCTCTATCTATCCATCAATCTCTCTCTCTCTTTCTCTCTCTATCCATCAGTCTCTGTCTGTCTGTCTGTGTCTATCTATCTGTCCATCAATCTCTTTCTCTCCCTTTCTCTCTCTCTCTCTCTCTCTCTCTCTCTCTCTCTAGCTCTCTCTCTCTTCTATCTATCTATCTATCTATCTATCTATCTATCTATCTATCTATCTATCTATCTATCTATCTATCTATCTATCTATCTATCTATATATATATATATATATATATATATATATATATCCTATCTCTCTCTCTTCAGCTCTCTCTCTCTCCCCCTCTCTTTCTCTATCTATTTATCTCTCTCCTATCACTACCTAGCCATCAATCTCTCTCTCTCTCTCTCTCTCACTCTCTCTCTCTCTCTCTCTCTATCTATCTGTCTCTCTCCTATCTCTCTATCTAGCCATCAATCTCTCTCTCTCTCTCTGCCTATCTATTTATCTCTCTCTCTCCCTCCTATATCTCTCTCTCTCTGTCTGTCCATCAATCTCTTTCTCTCTCTCTCTGTCTGTCTGTCTGTCTGTCCATCAATCTCTTTCTCTCTCTCTCTCTCTCTCTTTCTCTATCTATCTATCTATCTATCTATCTATCTATCTATCTATCTATCTATCTATCTATCTATCTATCTATCTATCTATCTATCTATCTATCTATCTATCTATGTATCTCTATCTATCTCCAGACAAACTTCACACACCTTCACTATAGAAGCATTTGTATAATTTCTTCTCTGGACTTGCCCATCTCGACTGAAAGTTAAATAGCAGATGCCAATTACCACGGCCATTAGTCCTATTTCATTTTTCAAACGTCCTCAAAAAACCATGGCAACCCCAGTTAGCAGCGCAGCCGAGAGAGCGGTGCAGCGGCCAAAAGTAAAAACATGTTTTGGTCCTCCAGCTTTGACACGACTTGGGTGGCGAGTCTTCACTGCGGTCGCCTTATTGTTGTAGACCTCGCCACTTTTCACCATCGCCCTGGAAATAGAAGCTAGCACTGCTCGCTCAATGTGCGGCTTTTAATAGAGCCATTTTACTAGCCCTTTACGACTAAGCTAACACAATGGTGCGAGCAAAGCATTAGCAGATGTGGGCTTTGAGACGCAGATAGCTGAGAACCGCTGCAAAAACCCACACCAAAACGTAAATATTTGACTTCCTTGTTGATCTAAGTGCACATGAGCTGCAGCCCATCGAGTCAGGCTGGGTTTCCGGTTTGAAAAGTCATTACGAGAGGCCGAAGCCGTTGTGAGAATGGAAGTGTGTGAGTTAATGTAGTTGTAGTGATTGCGGCGTTGACATATGGTGAGTATGTTTGCGTTATGGGCCAAAGAGAAAGATGAGAAACAGGACTCCTGGCTTAGAGCGCACACTACAGTAAGTCGTAAATGTAAATAAGAACAATATGTGTGTCCATAAACAGACATGTGCACGAGTGGAAAGGAACAAAATACTAATAAACTAAAGATGCACTGTAATTTTGATGGTGTTGGGGGTGGGGGTTATTCTCCTTGGAGATGTTATTGCTTTACCTGGAATAAGTTAATAAAGTTAATTACATTACACACAATTTAATTCCTTTATTTAGACTTATATTCTAATTTGGGTGCACACATTTTAGTTAATATAAGTCTGAATTATTTACTTACACTTGTTCTTTTTGTTTTTTTGAGTGCCGGACAGAGGAACCTCGGGAGAGACCAATGAATCAACAAAGGGGGTGGGAGCACTATTGAGTTTGGTTTACTAAGTTAGTTTGTTTAGTTTGCGTTAAGGTCACTTTATTATCACTTACTATTTTCTGTATTATAATTATTTGCCTTTTTGTTACTTTGATTAAGTTAGTGGTTTAGTTAATTATTTAGTGTAATTCCTCGGTCTTGTCTTCAGTTTTAGTTGGTCCTCATTGTATTTAAACACCCCTGTTCCTTTGTCTAGTTGGGTTGTTTTGTTTACATCCTTTTTTGACTTTATTAAATTTAAACTTATTTTTATACCCTGTCTTTGCCTTTCTGTCTGGTCTACTACAGTTATCGTGTTATTTCCTTATCATTTACACATGTTTAACACATAAATGCTGCATATTTAAGCCAAGTTATTCCGAACAGAAACAGAAAACACTGTTCCACCTTGTGATGTCATGTGGTTATATCTGTAGTACTCCATTGTGTTTTTAAACTCCATGCACCTTCACTAGAATCATTTGGATCATTTCAGTCCTAGAATTGCCAATTTCTACTGTTTTAAGGTGGAACGAAGCATTTTGAGCTTTGGAGATATAGACAGACTAATAATAAAGGATTACTCAAACATGTGTCAATGAAACAAAAGACAACTCCTGGTATGTTTTTGATTAAGTAACAACATTCTAACATGACTTAAAGCTCACAAGAGTCAACACAATTTTGTGTAATATAACCTGTACATTTACATTTATATACCATATTTTTCGGACTATAAGTCGCACTTTTTTTCATGGTTTGGGTGATCCTGCGGCTTATACTCCGGTGTGACTTATACATTACATTTTTCAGACTGACAGCCACGAGAGAGTGCTCTAGGTTCTGTGTCAGATTTCTCTGCATGTCTCCTGCAGAAAAAGCCGTTGTCCTGATGCAAGTAGTGAATTATGCAGCCGAAAATGGTAATCAAGCAACAGAAAGAAAGTTTGGAGTGAGCGAGAAACTTGTGAGGGACTGGCGAAAAGCGTGAATGGAGCGAATCGGGTGTGTGCCATGCCTGGACTTCAGTGACAACCGAAGCTGCGCAGAGATGTTCAGAAGTGACACTGAGGATGAAGAATTCAATGGATTCAATGAATTTAGTGATTTGGAGTGAGATTGAGAGTTTGGTAAATTTATCTTCTGTTGTTTATGCTTTAGTTATCTGAATATTCAGCCTGTTGTTCTCTGTTCTGTTGTTGTTACTATAACTTGCCTTTCAAGTTGAAATGTCAGTTCCTGGTCTCTGATTTTATAAAATAAATTTCCCACAAAAAGTGTGACTTATGTTTTTTTCTTCTTCATTATGCATTTTTTTGGCTGGTGCGACTTATAGTCCAAAAAATATGGTAATTATGTCTTATCTGACACCTGTTTCTTGCTATGTTTTTTGCTACTTATTTAGAATAAATTTTACCACTTTTATTTTTGCTTTCTTTCTTTTCTTTGTTATTATATTATTGTGATGTGTGAGCTATTGTGTCCATATAATTCCCTGTGGATCAATAAAGCTTGTTTAAGTCTAAGTCTAAGTCTAAGTTGATCTCTATGGAGACAGGCAACAGGTGAAGCCATCAGGCCAAGTTACAGATCAGATCTGTGTAGAAGAGAACTCACTCACAGTAAGTATGCATGTTTTGTACAAGAAATATCTGAACAACAAAATGCCACAAATAATAAATGCAAATATGCCATAAAACAATATTACTGCCACGGAGACAAGAAGGTCACACATGTTTTACATCTAAATTCTGCATCATAAAGAGGAACAGAGCATTCTGAGCTGGGGATACAGACAACCTAATAATTCAGGATTACTCAAGCAGGTGTGAAAAAAACAAAACTCAACTCTAGGCATGTTTTTGATGAGATAACAGCATTCTAACATGGGGTAAAGCTTTGTGAAATATAGGATCTTCAATATTTACAGTACACATTTGCCTGTGACTGGTGGTGATCAGAGGGGTCACTGGAGCATATGGCAGTCACGTATCTGTGTGTTAGCCCCGGGCATCTGTGGCTATTGAAGCAGACAGTTTATCCCAGCAGTGTGAGTGAATAAAAAACAATCTGCTGAAGTGATTTGAGGAGTTTGTGAAGTCTGTAAAGCGCTATGTGAATAATTTTTAAAGTTATAGCTGTAGTAGTAATAGTAACAACAGCGGAGATATAGAAATGAATCTATAAAACAAAACTAAGCTCATGTCTTTAATCCTACCAGATTTCTCATGATCCATTTTAAAACAAACATAAACTTTATTAGCGAGCGGCAAAGGTATAAAGTATAAAAAGGAATGTAAATGGTGAGTAATGACATTTTCTCCTATAAAAGCTCAAAACACAGCTAAAATGTGAAAGAGCTGTTAAATTTAAGACTCTACGACTTGTACCTGAAACAAAACACTGAATCCTAAAACAAGAAAATCAAGTAAACAATTGTAGAAAATGAGTTCCGAGTTAGCTAAACAACAGGGACACTGCAGGTTACTCTCATATTCATCATTGATATAAACTTTGGGATCAGACACAGCTGAAGTGAAGCCTTCTCTGCTTAAATAAAATGTTTCTGAGTCCGTGTGGAGGAAATCATTATTATGCGGCGAGGCAATAAAAAGCAAAGAAACACATTTTGTTTGTTGTGCTGCCCATAGATCTGCCTCAGTGCCAGTCAGAATGATGAGGGGATTTTTTTCTTACAAAATCACGTCTGTGCATAACCTGTATATGCGATTTCATTTTCTACGTTATTCAGTCAAACTTGTTCGTTGAAGTTCTGAGTTCAGCTTCACTTTTATTTACAGCACAGAGGACAGCGTATTTCCTCCCCAAATATAACGTCATAAATCCCCTTAAAGAGAGCAGTAATGATGTTTATGATGCTGTGTATTATTTTACCTGCAGAGACTCTAAGAAGCGGAAGGAGCCCAGACGACGGCCGCGCGGCACCAGACAGAAGGTGGAGTTATGGAGCAGCTCCTGATAATCAAACCTACACACACACACAAAGAGAAACATATGGGTTTAATGCACTGTGCAACTACTGTACAAGGTCTGAAAGATTACTGCAATAAATAAAAAACACTTTTCTTTTTTCCTTTTTTTGGAGCCAAATCCGATACCTGATATTTGGCCTGCTGCTGTGGTCAAAATTCATTCAAACTTATCTTAAAAGTGAACGGTGTAACTTTTCTAGTGGAGGGTCTGTCTCCATGGAGATGTTATTGCTTCGCTGGAATGTTTCACAGTATGGCATTAAACCTTTCTCTGTTTACGGAGATCAGACCAGACCAAGTTACAGGTCAGATCTGTGGAGAGGCGACCCCGCTCACAGTCAGAATACCTGTTTTTCTAGGTATTTTCCAGCTACAAAACCACCAGTAATTGAATAAATGTAAAGTAGAGCTGCTTAATGTCATACTGTGGAACATTCCAGGCAGAGGTGCAGGTGGCGGACCCCCAACTAAAAAGTTACATAGTGTACTTTTAACTTAAAGTGAAAAATGTAAAAATAATAAAATGTATTTGGGGTATAAAATAATTTGGTACATGTTTGTGTACATATAAAGCCATAACAGTCTTCACTCGTTTAACATTCTATTTCCATTTTTACTCATGAGTCTGTTCAATAAGGGCACAGAGAATGGAGAAGCATAAAAAATTGAATGTCAGCACTGAATATCGGATGACACAATATCGAGGAATTTGTATGCACCAATATGATATTTTCCATCCCTAAAATTAATGCAATCACTGCAATTATTTAAATACAGTTCATTCACAAAACGCAAACGATGATATACAGTATAAAAAAGACAAAACATTATGCACTAGTCTCATAACTTTTCCATACACTCTGCCCTGGGACAGACTGACAGAAGCAAGACTGTCAATCTACACCAGTAGCTGCCCAAAAAACCATAAACACACACTCACACACCACATTCATATGAGGCAAGGCGGGTGGAGTGTCTTGCCTAAGGACAGACACAATGACAGCGTGCACTAGAGACACTGTTGCCCCACTGTGGTTTTCTCGGAGGTCTCTCATCCAAGTACAAACCAGTCTGGCTAAGCTTCTGAGATCAGCAAGTGGGATAATTGTACAAGAGCTGCAAGATTTACTGCAATAAATCAAAATCACAATTTGTATGATCACAATCAGAGCTATTAGTTTTACATTTTCCTCAGCAAAATTTGATTCATAGAGTAGAGCAGGTGAGAGTCAGAGTTTCCTTTGCTCTTTCCTCTTGACTTGGGACATTCAGACACTTTTCCAAACGTCCCACTGAGAGCTTTGTCAAAACCACTCCGCCATGTCCAACTTTTACATATTGTAGGAACATTTTGAAACCAAAACCAACTTTCTAACTTACAATTTATATTTTTACTCTTTGTTATTATATTATATTGTGATGTGTGAGCTACTGTGTCCAAATAATTTCCCTTCTGGACCAATAAAGTTTGTCTAAGTCTACGTCTAAGTCTTGGAAAGGGACCAGATATTTTGTCAGATATTTAAAGCACAAAAATGTACCTAACTTTGACATGTTGGTATTTTCTTTCACTTTCATCAAATGTAATGATTATGAAGTTGACCCCTATAATGCTGCGGTGGTAAAGGTGGTAAAAGTGAAGTCAGTGAGAAGGTTCCGGGTTCTATCCCTCAGATGACCCAGGTCTTTCTGCGTGGAGGTTGCACTGTGTCTGGGTAGCCAGGCTGGTGCCACCTAGTGCCTTCGCTTAATTGAATTTCTCTCCAGCGACTAGGTCAGGAATCAGAATACACTAGACGGTTTGCAAGAACACCGAAAGTTGTAGACCGCGCACCGGCCAATCAGCGAAGAGCTGTGAAGCCATGACTTCAAACTCAAGAGCCTGTCTGGGTCTCTTTTGTGGTACAGCACAACAGTAAACAAAACCGTCAAGATAGATGTAAACCAGGAATCTCCAACCTTTTGCATCCGGTGAACTACATGTAGAAAACAAAAATGCCGGAGAGCATTTTAGTGATTGCAAGAAATGTTGTAGATATAAGAGGGCAAGCCTTAGACTGTCGTACCATTAGATGCCTTTAAAACATAAAACCATTATCCGTTTATTAGTGTGCAAAGTTCAAAATTACATATTTACAATGGTAATTAATCAAATTCCAGTTAATCAGTATAATACGTAATTCAGAAATCCTTTGGCGAGCTACTTATAACAGGGTGGAGAGCTACTGGTGGCTCCCGAGCTACAGGTTGGAGACCCCTGATGTATATGAAGCCATACATTCTGTGTTGGCAACGATTCCCGAGATCGAGAATTTTCACTCTCTGCTTTGTTTTCTGTTGTGTCGGCAATTACTTGGACACCATTGAGCATTCCGGCGCATTACATATGTCACGACCAAATAGCAGTGAATTGGTTAAATAAAAAAAGTACCTGCGTACCTTCAAGTGAACGAATCCTAATGCTGCGAGGTCAGACAGTTTCCACGAAGTGAAACCGACTGATGAATCAGGCTACTGTCTGGGCGGGTTAAACATGATACATACAATCATATACATACAATCTTCCATCTATGGTTGCACTGCAGATAGCTATAATCTGGTGCGGAACATCTCTATGTTTTACGAGCTTAATGTCTCTGTACATTGTCCCTTCAAAAAAAAGACTAACTAAACTAAGATCTGGAGATGGGTCTACTGCTCCTGACAGGTTGTCTCAGCGGAATTGAAGGATGGGTCACATGTAGAGGACAAATTTCACTTCGGGGACAATAATGGCTCAACTTAAGCATCCGAAAAAGCTAATCTAAAGCTGTACAGATGCCCATGAATACATGCACGTACCAAAGAGCTAGGAAATACAGTTTGATATCGTTTTGACTTACAATATCTTGCATTCGCAGCTACATGTACTGTAAATATATACAGCCCTTTAGCGCAGTTACAAATAATCATATCTATGAAGCCACAATCTGCATCCCCCATTATAAACTACTGTAATAAAACTCCCGCGGCGTTCCTCCTCTGATATATTTAGCATCTGCGGCGCGTAAAATAAAGCGCAGTTATTGTTGCTGTCGTTTGGGCTATTTCATCATAACGCCTCCGATTATGTCTTTACCCATAAATCTACAAAAGCCATTCACACAGGACTGCAGCTATCCGGAGAATGTGGAAATTACATATCCATCAACCACTGTAATGTACAAAGTAAGTACGCCGTAATACTGGCTTCCTTTTGATTCATGATATCATCGCGAAGGCCTACTCTCAACTACAATAAATCAACCTGCAGACAGCAACATCATATTTCATACTTGGGCTGTAAAAGAACATATAAAAACGTGGAAAAGCGTGGAAAATGCTGCTTTCATGTGGTCGATGGTTTTGTGGTAAATAGACACAAGTAGTACTTTAAAGGGCACATATTACACTATTTTATGATCTATGTTGTTATAATGTTGTTTTCTCATTAAAAGCAGACCTGGAGTTGTGTTTTGTTTCATTCACATGTTTAACACATAAATCCTGCTTACTTAGGCTTAGTTCTTCTCTTAAATTGAAAACACTCTGTTACAACTTGTGATGTCATGTAGCTTGGGATGTAACAATAACCGAAATATCTTGATATCACATCGTGAGAAGTCTCACAATAATATCAAGAGCTGTCACAATATATCAAATTATAAGTTCCTTTGCTTAAATGCATTGATGTTTAGTAGGAACAGCTAAAAAACATAGGGAACTACGTGTCCCATGATTCATTTCAGCACAGACAACATGAAGAAATATGTTTTTTACTTGAATTCTTGAGATTCTGACAGTAATAATTTGCACCAAAATCTTGTCAAGGTATTTTAAAAGCAAAAAAGTGTCCTATATAGAATTATATTTGCCTCTCCAAAATATCACAATAAATATCTATGACGGTAAATATGTTGCAAAATGGGAAAATGGGAGAGCGTGTAAACTTGATTTGAGAACTTGTAGAATGTAATTTGAGAATGTGTAGAACAAAACTTTGAACTTGTAATTGCCTATTTGCATATATGTGTGAGTTGAATTTGCAGTTATGGTGAAAAAAACACACCATTGCTTGAAAAAAATGTGTGCACTTGCGGACTGAAATTTTCACATGTGGAAAATATTTACACACACGGGAGAAAAATACGAATAAATGTGTAGATTGATATTTGCATGAACAGAGTGACATCTGCACCCATTATAACAGATACAACCACAACTCAGCGACTGCAGCTTCTCAAATGTGTCCCAGCAGTTTCAAATCTGTGCGCCTTGGCTTTTGCGACACATTTTGCGATGCGTATGTGGCAAAACCGATTTGCACTTGTAGAGAGCTAGGGGAGGGGGAGGAGGAGGAGTAGAAGGGGAAGTCAGAAAGGGGGAAGATGAAGAATCCGTGTATCATTTGTTTTTCAAAATAAAACCAAAAATAAGAAAATGAAAAAAACATCTATTTTCTTCATTATTTGTCTCCAAAACCAAAATGAAAAAACAGATAACAGCTGAAATTTCCCGTTTAAGTAACTTAAACTACGATGCTGGACTTTTGTACCGCATACGACTAAACCAGGACTAAACCAGATCTAAACCAGGTCTAAACCAGGTCTAAACCAGGACTAAACCAGGTCTAAACCAGGTCTAAACTGGTCTTCATGAATATAGTACCTTGAGATCCATATCGTGATAATATCAAGCCGAGAGATTTGGATATCGTTACATCCCTATATGTGGCAATACAAGAAATGCTCCACTGTTTTTTTAAACTCTACACCTTCACTTGAATCATTTGGTTGATTTCAGACCTGCGATTGCCAATCTCCAGTGAACTAAATGTAAAAAGTAGCTGTTAAGTTGAAAACTACCACAGCATGACCTCACAAGGAGGAACAGAGCATTTTGAACTTCAGACAGTTTAACAATCCAGGATCACTCAAACATGTGTGAACGAAACAAAACAACACACAACTCCAGGTAT